AAAAAAAAAAAAAAAAAAAAAAAAGCAGGGTTTTGCTATCTAAGGTTGCTGTGCTGTCAGTTTAAAGATCAGCTGGCCTTAAAAGCTTTCAGAAGGGAAGGAAACTTGCCTGGAAGATTGAAGTGTGTGTTCAAGGACAGAAAAGCATTTCTTACTCTTGGGTGATCCCGGCCTCTGCGATGGTCTTCAGGAGGCTCACTCCCTTCTTCTTACTTCCAGGTGGGCTAGAATCGCTTCCTGGTTGCTACAGCCTGAGCACCTGTGGGAGGGCAGAGCAGCACTCAGCTAGGGCATTGGAGAACCAAGGGGCTCCCAGCTCTGCTTATCCCTACTCTCCCCAGTATATCCTGTTTCCTCTCCATATGTCCCTACCATATTTGCCGTTTGACTCTCCCCAGCACGGTTATAGAGCAGCCCCCTCGCCACCGTCCATTTTGGAGCCCAAAATTTTCCCCTGCTGCTTGCTGCCTGTTTGGATCCTTGACTCCAGGTGTACCTGCAGCCTTGTCCCCCAGCATGCTGTCTTTGCCACTGAGTTCTGGGTGCTGGGAAGACCAGCCGACTTGCTGTTCTGGGACTGGAGCACAAGTCCAAGGGAGGGCCGGAAGCCATGCCTCTTTGGGGGTTGCCGATGAGGAGGCCTGGGCGGGGGTTCTGGAGGGACATGGATGGGATGGGAGATGCAAAGGTGACTAAGGGCCACAGGGAGGAAAAGTCAGGAGGGGACTGGACCAACAGCCGTGAAGGACAACCTGCAGCCTGCAGGTGGCTTTGGCTGAACAACTTATTTATTTAACTTTGGATTAAAGTGAATTAATTTTGCTTCTCAATATCTGAAATGAACCAAGGTGTCTGCACATGGAGGCTGGGTGGTCACGGCTGGATACTCTCCTAAGCAGTCCCATCAGTTTCTCTTAGTGGATGAGTTGTTAATTTGACTCTGGGAGGCTGTACCTGGAGCCAGGGTAGCAGGGTGATGGGGTGGGAGCTGCACTCTCAGGGTAACACTGGGTAGCACCTCCAGCCAGGGGCCCCAGCCCTGCACCAGACAGAGGTAAATACATCTTTAACATTAACAGTTTCTTCCTAGTTAACACCATCTTGGTCTCTCCATAAAAACACATTTGCGCCTCAGTAAGGAATGTAATTAACTAGTGACATGACAACAGGAGGAGCGAAGCAGTAGCCCAGGCTGGGAGCTGCGGTGGGGAAATGGAAAGGTAGACACTTGCAGCAAGGCTCTCCCACCTCCCACATGTGCCCATCTGTGCACAAGCCCTTGCACACGCACCTTGTGCACACTGCTGGGAGGCGGGGGTGGCAAAGAGATGGCACCTGGGATGATGGGGGCTTTGAAGTCCCAGATGCAGGAAAGAGAAGGCCGGGAGAGCGAGGAGGATGGGCCTGCCTAGGGTAAACAAGGGGGCTCATGCATTCCCATTAACAACTTACCCGGTCCTGTATCCTCAACCTGGACTCTTTCCAAGAAGGGAAGGATAAAGATAGAGCCACATTTGCAGGACCCATGCCAAGGAGCCCGAGGACTGGGACCAACCAGAGAGTGGGTGGTTTCATGAGAGCCGAATGACTCCTCTCACTCCCTGCACCCTGCTCTTCCTCGGTGCGATCACATTGGTACACTCTGTGCCAACTCCCATGTCTCTGGCCATACAGGCTGCAAACCCTGGAGACTGTCCGTGTTTTCCCTCCTCTAAGCCCCATGGAATTCTCACTCCCTGTCACTATCACTGTCACTTCTCGTCCCTTTCTAGTCAGGGTGAAGATCGTCTTTCCTCTTTCCCATTTTCAGTGGGTCAACCAAGAGAGGCCCCTGGCCTTGCCAGTCACCACCCCTCTTCGTCCCCACCATCAGCCTCCCAGCACACCGATGCACCACAGCGTCCAAGCCGAGTTTCCCAGACAGGTGACTCCTCCCAGACTCACCAGGGGCCCTGTCCATGCCATGCCAGATGTGCCCAGTGCAGCAGTGAGTACTCGCTGCCCTTCCTGGACTTCACAGCTGGGGCACCACCTTCCCCAGGATTTCCAATTTCCTGGTTCATAGAAGGCACTTAGCAAACATCTCTGGGGTGCATCAGACTGTACACAGCCCTCTGGGAGCCTGCAGCTACCTCAGCTGCCTTTTGGGCTCATCTCCCACCACGCTCCTAAACACGATCGCTCTCTCCACATTCTCTGCACCTCCAATTCTGTATTTCCACCCCACGAGACCCGAGGCCAGTGGTGGCAAACCTACGGCATGTGTGCCACAGATCGCTGTCCCTATCGTTGAAACTCTAAAAGGTTCGCCATCACTGCTGTAGCCCTTCTTCAGTCGTCAACTCAAATACTCTGCAGCTGCCTCTGTGGCCAGCAGTAATGTTTCCTCTTCTGTGTTTCCAAGTTAACAGGCTGTTTGTCCCGTGAAAGGTCTTGTCACATTCTGTCTCATGCTGCAGTCATCTTATATATTTGTCACCTCTTTCCGGTAAGTTTCTCATGGACAGAAACATATATCTGCTTGATTTTTCAGTTTGCAAAGTACCTTTATGCATAATATCTCCTTTAGTTTTAAAACAAACTTTAGGAGAAGGCATTTTAATGTAATCTTTACAAAACAACACATGGTGATTGTAGAAAATAGACAAACAAGAGACTAAAAGTTAGATGCAATCCTACGATACAAAGATGACTACAGCCAATATTGGGAGTGAACTGGTTCTTTCCTGAAAATAGTACCACACTATGTATATACTTCAGTAACCAGCCTTCTATATTCACCAACGTATCATAAAAATCTTTTCACATAAGGGAAATATACACTCTTTCTTTTTTTTTTTTTTTTTTTTTTTTTTTTTTTTTTTTTTTGTTTTTTGAGACATGGTCTCACTACATAGTTGAGACTAACCTGGAACTCACGATGTAGCCCAGGCTGGTCTCAAACTCACAGTGAACGATGTAGCAGGCTGGTCTCAAACTCACAGTGATCCTCCTGCCTCAGCCTCCCAAGTGCTGTGATTACAGACGTGCGCCACCACGCCCAGCTATACACTCTAATTTAATGGCTATATAGCATTGTATTTATGGATGTACTATAATTTTTCAGCCAAATTTTATATGTTAGATTATTTACAGTTTTTACAGTTAGAAAAAAATAATAACCATTCTTGTAGCTAACTTTTGCACCAGACTTGATCATTTTTCTAGGACAAATAGAAATCTATTGGGCACATTTTTAGATTTGGACTGGCCAAATCCAGATTTATTTTAAACAGATTTTACAAATAACACACAGAAAGGTCGCATTCCTTTATATCCTGTTAACAGGATGTGAGAAATGCCTTTTTCTTGCCAGGCCCATTGTTCCCATTTTATATATGTGGACAATGAGGTTTAAGAAAGTCAAGCACAGGTCTTGACTGGGAACATGGCCAGCAAGTGATATCTTCTGACTTTAGATATATTGTCACCCACTCCTGACTTTTTTCTAATATTTCTTTCTTTTTTTTTTTTTTGGTACTGGGGTTTGAACTCAGGACCTTGTGTTTGTGAGGCAGGCAGCAGAATCACTGAGCTAAATCCCCATCCCTGTTCTAATATTTCTTACAAATCCAGAAAGAGCAGTGCTGAGTCAATGTTGGGGTCTTAGAAGGGGAAGGCAGAAGTGGATGTGCCCTGAGCAGTGCTGTGGGCCATTCCTGGGAACTTTGCTAATGTCACTTTCGGGATGTCTGAGGCCAACATGGCAGACTGGCTGTTCAAGGTAGGTTTGTGCTATTCTCTCTTTTCCTTTTCTGGGAAGATGCAAATTGCTTCAGTTCAGCTGTAGCGTATTAAGCATCTACCATGTGTCCAGGCTTGACCATCCAAAGATGACACACACACCACACACACACACACACACCGGTTCTCCTTGTCTTCAAGGGGCTCATAGTCAAGTGCGGAAGACAGCTAGAGAAGAAGTCATTGTCACCTCCAAGTGTAAATGATGCTGTTCTTGGCACTTGACTTCACCATCCCCTCCTTTGGGAAAGCCTACAGTGGAGGGTGGGGAGCAGGGTCAGGTTCAGTGCTGGGGAAGGGAGGAAGCCCTGTCTGCTTTTTGTATCCCCTTCAGCTTCTGTATCTCATCATACCCTTTCTGGCCCTGCAGGCCCAGAGGTGCCCCACCCAAGTCCTGCAGCAGTGAGGTGCTCCTCCTCTTTCTCCTCTGGCCACACCTCTTCCCAACCCAACCCCTGAGACTGCACGGAGGAACTGGACTCCTGGAGAGGAATCACACCAGTGTCAAAGAGAAGTCAGCTGGCTTCCCACCCAGGGATTAATAAAATGCACATCAGCAAGAAGAAGGACGATCAGAGGTGACACCAGCGTGCCCCATGCGGGGTGCTGCTTCAGGGCTACAATCTACCTGGGTTTCTCCTTTCCTGGAACTGACAGCCAGCTAGTTCTACTTGTTTCCCTACTGCCTGGAGAAAGCTTCGAGGCAGAAATTTTGCCTGTAATCTCCTTTCTGTCGCTGCCAGCAATTCTTCTGAGCAGGAGAGTGACTCTCATGTCAGAAAGCATGGGGGAGAATGAAAGACAGTCTGGGGCTGGCAAGGAGAAAGAAACTGCTGATAGGTGGTGGCTATCCTTCCTAACCCAGCGCTCCTCTGGGAGCCACCCTGCCTGGCCCTGGAAGAGGGCATCTTGTGCACTTTCTTATACCAGTGGCAGAGAGCCTAGCACATCCTGTGCATCACTGCATCCTCTGAGGTCTATGAGGGAGCCTGCAAAAATATTGCCCAATCCTGGGCTGGGAATGAGCCCCACCAGCAGACATCGTAATAGGCAGGGCCAGGACATAGAGGCAGAGAAAGACGCAAAGAAACTTGACCCTGTGTGACTTGATGTGACAGTTCAGATGTTTAGGGAACAAGGAAGGAAGCAAGTGCTTCAGGCTGAAAATAATGCTCCTTGGGTCCCCCCTCCTTCCACAAGAAATGTCTCTACTCTATCTCTTTAGTTTCCATTAGGCTCCTTTCTGCCTGCCAAAGTTCATTTTACCTGGGCACCCTCTCATGGGGATTCACAGGATTCTTCAGGAAATGCCTTCATCTCTTCTGCCAACTTATCCTAGGACCATTTGCAGACAAGTAGGACAGATTCTAGAATCTCTGGCCAGAGGCCCAAACCAAAGGCCTTAAAAACAAAAACAAAAACAAAAACAAACAAACAAACAAACAAACTCTAGGGGAGATGCTCTACCCTGGGATT